TATCCTTGCTTTTTCATGACATCCTCAAAAACAAGAAATTATTCTTCCTAAATTTGACCCCTAAAAATATCTCTGATTTTGGATTGGTGGTTTTTGCTTTTATCATTTGGTAATTTTTGAAGTATAAATGGAGCTCTATGTTGTATTTGGTTTGGTTGTCAAATGAAAGCACCCAGTGTGACATGACTGCCAGACAAAGACATTCGCCTACCCCACAGGAAGCGCGTGCCCCGGACGACATGGGCCTCTCACAAACACCAAGTTCTACCTTGTCATTTCCTCTATAATTAAAATCAGATGATCTGTTTCTTTCAATGCCATGAATATTTTGGGGGTCATGACACTTCTGATCTATGTTCATACAATATGATTAAGAGAAAAGGTAGGTTTTTTTCTATTTTTTTAAATTTCAGATTAGTATAAGGGTACATAGGATTAACTTTCATTGTCTGTGTTTTTAAGAGTCTATGTCTGGCCGGTTCCAGAGGCAACTCTGTGGAATCAGCTAGAGGCTGCCCAAGAATGAAGTCAGGTTGAACACAGTCTGTGACATTTTAATTATTAAAAAATTCAAAAATCAACACAGCTGATGAACTTTAAAACAAGACTATAAGACAGATTTTTTACTTTTCTTGCTCTAACTTGTACTTCCCTTTTAAAATATGCAATCTATTATCCTGAGAGCTATTTCAGAATAGATTCACAAAATTGCCATATCCTTAAGGGGTCACCTTTTTTCCTCATCTGTTGGCACTGAGACAAGTTTCACATAAAGAACTCCTGACACATTGGAGATGGCTCTTAAAGCTTTTCAGAGGAGACTGAGCAGACTTCCTGTGCCTTGCTGACTACACACATTACTGCATCTGGCCTACATCTCCACTGCGGTAACTGAGAGCATGTCTTGGCTCCACAGCTTCAGAAGAGAGAAACGATCACTATGGAACATCATATCCAAGATCAAAAGCTACTGCTGAGAATGTGTGAAAATAATCATTCAGCTTTTACCTAAATCATAAGTTATTCTCACACGTAAAAGTAACTGGCCTTGGTACTTAGAACTTAATTTTACAGTGGAGTAGTAACATGAAAAGCCAACACAATGGAGTCTGTCGATTGTGGAAGGATCTGAACTGAACTGCTCAGCTAGAACCTGGGTCTTCCCACCATGACACTGAACGCTGTGATTGCAAAGTTAGAGCCCTCCTATACTTCATGCATAGTAGGGAGGCATCACAGTGCAGTTAACACGTCATCACAGTGCAGTTTAATACTGCTTCTTAAAATTCACTCACCTTGCTCAGTATCTGCTAGTATATTAGTTATCAGCGAAATTCAAAATTATCCTCACAATTCTTCCTAAGAAAGTTGAGTGAGGAAAAGCAATTCTTACATTTCTGGGATCCATCTGGAAAAACTCTGGATGGTTCATTATATCCTTAAGTGTTTGGTGAAAATGTGGGCAAAAGTACAACTCAAAACAACCACTGGTCAATGTTTATCTTCTACTCCCTTAAAAGAAATATTTAAAATTATAAACTGGTAGAAGCATTTTAATAGATTTAAATTCGGTGGGTGATTTGGAACTATTGCATCTACAGCAATCTTGGGGCACGTGATACTCAGCAGACACACAGGATCGTTTTGTTAATGGTTACCAAAAGGCCCACACCACACAGTCTCTAAGGGCAGACGTGATGTGCGCCTTGCAGAGTGGTAGTTTCTGTATATGTGGTAGGCATGCACCATATTACCAGATGAATCAAGGAACCAAATGGGCTTTTAAAAATTAAAAACATATTTTTAAGTGTGGGGGCATGAGAATGTGCCTTGAAGGCCTCCAAACAGAGAGAGATTAATTAGGCAAGTATCAGGCGCTGGGCTCTGAAATCCACCCTCATGCTGTCCGAGGGCCATGCTGCTCACAGGCTGCCCCCAGACAGTGGCTGAGGGCAGCAGGCAGTGCGAGGTGGGCTTATCCCCAGGAAACGAGCAGTTCCTCAGAAGGCTGACTTTAATTCAAGGGCTCCCCAAAGATTTCGCTAAATCCTTCTTGGACTGCACAGTGGTCTAGGATACGTTATCTGATTTTCCCTCCCTCTCTCTTTCACTTACAGACAGTGGCACGGCCATCCAGTGGCTCTGGCAGGCTCAGCAGCTGTTACACCAGGGTTCCCTGAATAACATCCCTACACGTTTAGCCCTGTACTGGGTGTTTCTTGGAAGACCTAGACTAGCACAGTAAAGTAACTTCAAAACTGAGCAATTCTCTTTGGAATGCTGACAACGCTACTTTTTAACCAATTTTTTGATCTATTTTATTATAAATTACTATACTATATTAACATATAATAATATGTCATATAACATTTTACTATAAATTTATATACTATGCAAAAGTTATTTACCTCCTTTGAATTACAAATGATCAGTCTTCGGTCAAGATCCACACTTTAGGCACATACTAAATAAATTACCGTCTATCCTTTTAGCAGAATGAGAAGATTAAGACTATGAAGTCCATTCATTGGTTATTTGGATTTCAGTCTTATTTTTCAGCATGAGTAATACTCATGTGAATAACATGAAACTCTTTTATTTAACATGAAACTCTTGGACAAAGCATTAACATCTTTATTTCTATATTAATCTCATATCATTTACAAAAGAAGAAATGAGCAGTCACATTTTGAATGTTATTCCACTGTTGGGTTAATACCAGCTCCCTTATAGAATGCATATCAGTTTCCCAATTTTTTAATAATATATTTAATATAGTTCAGCCCACAATGGCATAATATCTTGCACATAAAACCTGCTTAATTAATAGGATGTCTTGATGTCTATGACTGTACCGCTAGCTCACGGTTCATCCTTTGACGGCATCTACTGTACTCACACAGAGTTGGAGGGGTGAAGACTCCTCCAGTGTGATCAGTGGCACGTGACTTAATTCTGTGAATAACAACAGTCATGTGCAAATGTAGGCTTAATGTAGGACAGAATGGGGAGCGGAGTCTTCCATTAGCCCGAAGTTCAGCTAAGAAGTATTGGGGCAGACTGTCCCATCTCAGTGAACAGGGCTCCCCCCTCTAATCCCTTCATCTCTGCCTCATCCTGAATCTCCGTAGAGCTCTCAATTCATCTTTTCCCCCAGACACTTGCAATGAGACCCACCCATGGCTGAGAACCATAGGAAGCAGACAGACTCCACAGTTAAGATAGTTAGGTTGGGCTGTGGTTGCTGCTTGTGTGTCTATTTAGATTTTCTTACATTTTCCTTGGCTTCCTACATTATGCTGGAGTTAGTGCAAATGAAACATTTTTTAACGATGTTCAGAAACACCTTAGTTACATATGCAAAGTTAAATAGCCAACTCATAGAGACTACTATCTTCTACGGTCACCTGAAAGAGCTATAAATATTCCCAATGTCAAATATGAAATAAGAAAATATATGCTGGCTCGGCACCTGTAGCTCAGTGGTTACAGTGCAGCCACATACACTGAGGCTAGCAGGTTTGAACTCAGCCCAGGCTAAACAATGACAACTGCAACAAAAAATAGCCAGGCGTTGTGGCGGAGATATATGTACATATATCTCCAATTTGGGTTTTAACTGAAGGCCTACCCCTTTTTCCTGTACATTTGAAGTTTAGTCTAAAACCAATACTCATGTGTACATGAGCCTTATCTGTTAATTAGTTATCAGGGGACAAGATCTGGATATACTTTAAAGCTTTACAAAATAAAATAGAATCACAATTTTGTGCCAAATGTGTTATTGACTATATATGCAACCTTAGAGCAAATGAAACACGTGTCAGTCTTAAACAGCTGGATTCATATAATTAACACTGTGAGGTTCAGTTGGAATATTTAAGTTAAGCTTCCAAATATCTAAGGAGCACTCTGTGCATATTTTTATATCCACTACAGATAGGGGAAAAGCATTGCAATTCATGATATTTCCCCTGTTTGTTTGGAGAATAAGGACACACAATCTTAGTTCTCATCATAGTACTTGAAAGTCTATAAATATTTATAAACTTAACTATTAACTTTCTCAGGGGCCAATATTCTGATCATTCACCCATGGGTTTAACCCAACATTCTCAAGGTTCTGAAATTATGTACGAGGAACATAAGGAACGATTAATAGAGGTACAAGTAACTGAAAAGGTCAAAAAATAAGGTCCATTTACTGTCTTGGACAAAATATTCCAGGTCAGTGTCAAGTATCAGACTAAGAGTGAAAACCAGACTACGAGAAGCTCCCCTTCACCAGCCAAACAACGTGAAATGTCAATACTCTTTATAATTTATTTATAACTAAAAACAAGACAACTTTTGAAATTTAATTCCTTGTTTTTAACTTAGTCCTCATTGGTAAATGTAAAAAATATGCAAAAGTATTTTGATGCTAAAATGGCAACAGTACCTTTCTGCATCAGTTCCATTATCAGAAGTCACTGATGGAAACAGGTAAGAATTATAAGGCGTGTTGACAGAGTCTGAGCAGATGGGGCTGCAGAGACATCAGCACCGTGAGGCAGACAGGATCCAAGATGTTCACTGACCAGGAGGGGAGCAATTGCACTTTCCTTCTGCTTCTTAGGCCTAACCTCAGACTTACCATTAGATGAAGGTGTATGTGGTGGGGGGGCACCCGATTGACACATACTTTGTTATTTCTGCCTCTATTATTTGAGATTTCTCAAGTGTGAGAATACCATGTTTCCTTAGGCTGGGCTGCTACTTGACACAGGCTACGTGGACCACACGACTGAAGGACGAGGCCTGCTCACCCCGAGGGAGCACCTGCTCATAAGTACAGATGCCTGCACCCTGATCATCACTCCCTCCTTAGTTTCAGTGTTGGCATGATGACAATGATGATGGTGATGGTGACGATGTGCGTGTGTGTGTGTCTGAGATATGACTCCTCGGATCCATGTTCATGCATCATGGTTGGGAGAAAGGTCGTTTCTTTTACTTACCTGAAATCCTGCCCAGTACCAGAAATTTGACTGCGCTGAATTCTCTGCCTGATGACAGGTGGACTTGCCTCCTTGTATCCTCATCAATCTACAAAATTATTACGTGAGATATAAACATCCAAATGGATGCCATTTTGTTGAGAAGAGAGGAAGCACAGTAAACAAAAAGATGATAAATGAGGCAACTGAGAGCATGGCCCTGAAGGCTGAAATATAACAAATGTTAAAGAGTTATATATTTAGAAAGGCTTCTCTACACTATTTCTATACTACCCTGAGATACCACTGCACCCCACAAACTCTCCTTTCTATTGCCTTATTTTCATCCATCATATAAGGAATCCAAAATTGATAAGCCAGAAAAAATACAGGGAGTTATTTTTCACCTCAATACTTTGACTTAGCATGGCATTTTTACTTGAGTTAAGCAACTAAGAAATTTTCTTGTACACGGAGCACAAAAACAGTGGGCTTTTCTTTAAAAACAAGTTGAGTGCATAATTATTCTGATATTGCAATTATTATTTTCTATAATAGACCCCTTACTGAATTCATATTCGTCTAAAGTAAACTGGTTTTACTAGAATAGCAGTGGCAGGATACTGTCATGTGACATCATTCCCCTCCTAAGCAAAGCAGAACAAGAAAAGGTGGCATCTTAAGTATCAGGTATTAATAATGTATTAGGTAGGATCTTATTGCTTAAAGAAACCTGACCACATTTGATGGCCTGTCTGTGACAGGAGACCACTGGAAGGACCTTTGTTTACTGTATTCATTATCAAATCTCTGCTCTAGGTCCTGGGGAGCCACCATTAGGACCATTGCTTCTGTTGAATTTATTACCTCCACAAAGGCCACTCCTCCTTCTCTGTTTATCTCTACGTGGTGGAGTTGTCCATCAGCCATGTTTTTAAAATCAAAGTTAACAACATCAGGTTCTTGATATCTGTTTAGCTTGTACCGTATCTGCAAACTTCCTAAAGTGGAAAAAAGATTAAATTTTTAGTAAAAATTATATTTTAAGAACTACTTAGAAAAAAATCAGAGTCCTTTGGTTGTTATTTATTCATTTGAAAGATACCTTCTAATCATAATTCTTAGAAGTTTTGAAATGAAATTGCAGTACTATATTTTCAAAATCAAGACCAAACACGTTGCTCACGAACAGTCTCTTTCCTGCAAATCTTTAATTTTCTTTGTTAAAGGTAAACTCAGATTAAGCATATGCACATCTCTGTAGTAGCCTCTAACTTAAAAAAAAATATGGCTAAGTATTTCTGAGATACCAAACTATTGCATAATATTGTAATTATTTCTATTATCTTTAAAAAATATATTTCATACTCCTGAAATCCAATTGATTAATGAAATAATAAAAAGCAAAAATACTTTTACTAAAGGTAAGACATATATCCAAGTGGACATAATCATAGACTTTGAAATGAAATTAGGGCAAAGTAAATTAAGTTTTAAGCTAAATTTAGCACTGGAATTAATATTACTCACTTAATTGCCTACAGAGATGGTGATTAATATATTTCAAAGGTTATCCTCCAATTTAACAAAGAAAATGTCCTAACAGATATATTTCAAGCTTAAAATGTATGGTGTAGATAAAGGTACTTTGGAACAATATTATTCTTTTTTTGGTGTTCAGTGTCCTTGGGCCACAATTCAAGAGTTGAAATGACATATTTACATGCTTGTACGCTTGTTTATTTTTATCACTCAGAGAATTTATTTCTAAAATATTTATCTTTCATCCAAATGCAGGAAAGAGAAAAAAAAATAGTAAGTGGCTTTCTGTGACCAAGTTTCTGCAGCAAACACATTTCCCAGTCCCCACGCCCTTGCCCTCCAAGGACATACCATTATTTCCCAGATTATTTCATTACCTAAAATTAGAACTCATAGGCTGTCTTATGGGAATCTTCTTACACTTAAGGCTGGCTTGTTAACACTCCCTGAAGATGTCTTCACTTTGATTTGGGTATAACAAGACATCTGATTTCAAAATGAACCCCCAAACCAATATCAATATCCATATGGAGTGGTCAAGAGCTTCTACTAATGCTAAAACACAAAGTAAATTTTTACACTGCATATGCAAAACTACCATAATCACAGAGAGATAAAGGCATCTTAATTATTTCAAAGAACCCTTTTAGATTAAACGTATAGGACAGTAATAAAAAGCAAAATGAATACAGAAACAGACACGTTCCTGATTCCCTGCTGTGGCTTTAGAAGGAAGAATGCGGGAACCTTCCACAGTACCACTTCCCTTGTGTTTCAGTTCAGTTTTCAGTCTCTCACCTAAAAAACACTCACCGTTTTTGGCGATGATGACGGAAAGGTATTCTTTGTAAGAAGAGCTCACGAAAAGCAGCAAGCTTGGTGTCCGTGTTGTTCGGAAGCTAAATTTGATGGTCTCTCTGCTCAGCTTCATGTCACCATGGAATGAAGCAGCGTGGGAGCTGGAGTTTTTACTTAAAAAATAATTGTCTTGAAAACTGTAAATCACAGATGAGCCAGATTCAAAATATGCAGAAATCTCTGAAATAACATGGATATTTTATGTTCAGAAAATTCCAGGACAGGTCTTAACTACGGAACTGATTTTTAATTCTTTTAAATCATGAATTGCATAGCTAGAAAAAACAACCCTACGCTAAAATAGAATAACACAGTGAATTAACAGAGCTTTCATAATGATCTTTAAAATGGCTTTTTGTTAAGATGACATATTATAAACTCACTAGTATAATTTTACAACTGAAAGCTAAATGCTTTCTTATCTGAGCTCAGACATAAACCAGAATTCTCATCTTTCACCTCCTTGATCACCACTTTCTTATTTAAAGTTTAACTTTGAGCTACTATTTGCCGGGTAGGATACAGTAGTCTCCCTGTAATGGTTAGGAAAGAAGACAGTCTGAAGGATTCTCTTCCCTCTTAGGATCAGCAGGCAGAAAATTTTCCTTTACAGCTAAACTTTTTCTGAAATTTATTGTTCACTATAAAAAGAAAGACAATTGATATGAAAGAGGGAAACAGAATCAACAAAATAAACTATCGAGCCTGTTTTAAATCATTTTGTCAACGCATAGTATTTCCATTGCACGAGATTCATGCTCCAAATTCTCTCTCTCCCTCATGTTTGTGCATGTGCACACGTACACCCCGCAAGTATGTATGGCAATGAAGAGAATGGTAGAATGATGGTCAAAATTACTGGTTTTGAACCTGTTTCTGTGCATTACTATAAAAGGCTGGTTGTTGAGTACTGAGTGTAGATGATGCTCAGTGGGTGATACGGTAATGTCTAGACTCCCTTGCGATTCAGGGATTTTTTTTGCTTGTTTTATTGCTTTTATTACCTATAATAAAGTTTTAATATCCAATATAACATAAGTATACAGAGTAATAGTTCTGATTGCACTTAGCAAGATGAACTGGAAGTTATTCATATTCAGAGAATGAAGACGTGTTCTTATAAAGATGTCTTAACATTAATTCTAACCTTAAATGTGGGAAGGCTCCTAGAGTGGTGGCAGCCGTGTGTGGTTATTGTCACAGGTTGATTTGCAGATGAGAGCTGATTTCTGAAGAAAGCAGATGACTGAAAAGTGTCTTTCGGCCCACTTTTCATTAATCATCCAGGGCTTTCTTTGCAAATCAGAAGCTGGTTCAGGGTGGGGCCCATTTTGGTTGGCCTCTTTCAGAAAAAGGGTCAGTAGCCCAGACACACTTAAGTGAAGAAACTGAATTTAAATTGGATGTCAGTGTTCTATGAGGAACTATGAAAGTGTAATAAATTCTGTGTCTTCATAGGAGCCTGTCCAGAACACTTAGCACTACACTCCTTTCTTCCTTCCATGACACACATCAGTGAATGAGAGAGGCTGCCAAACATTCTACGGTTTTATTTTCCTGGCAGGTATCAGTGCAATGCAAAATAAAAGGTCTCAGTGTCTCTGTTTTGTTATGCATCAGTGGAAAAATATTTGATGGTAAAATTATTTATATTCCAGGCCAAAGTATTTGTTTTGGGGGGAAAAAACCCAAACAAACAAATCAGAAACGATGCTTCTTAAATTCTGCTGCATTGCTGAGTATCAAAAACATTGATAATGCTTTTAAAGATTTTAAAATACAGAACTGTCCCATGGGACCGGTTGCTGAGAGCCGTATTGTTGAAAGAGCATGGGCCTTAGAGGGAAGGAAGAAGGGTGGGCAGTTAAGGTTTTAAGACACCCCCAGGTAACTGTTAGTCATGCAACAGACACTAGGGTTTCAAGAATTGAGTCAATAAGCTAAGTAATGAAATAGGACTGGCATTATACAGATACTCTGCAAAAGAAATCTAGGGATGGAAATATTTTTGTTTCAAACAGCTACACAGAACAGCACTGCTAGCTGTTTGGTTCAGATTGCAGACGTTTCTCTGTTACAGCGTCTGATGCCGCACTTAGCACTTACCGTTGGAGCAGAATGGCCCTGTGTACGCAGAGAAAGTGCAATCGCAGAGGAACCCGCTGGGCCTTTCTCTGCATTTCCCGCCATTGCGGCACAACTTTCCATAGCTGCTGCAATGTCCCCTACAACCTGGCTGCACCTCTGGAGTCACCTGGGCTCTTTCTTCCAAATCCAAGGTCATTCCGTTCAACTGCAGAGCCCGAATGCAGCCCAGAAAGCCCCTCTGTCTGGTGGCCGTCCCACCTAAAAGGGAAATACTGCAAATGGAAACACGTTCCTAGGTGTTTTATTCAGGATTTAAAGACCAGACAAAACTGAGGCCTTACAGAGAATAGCAAAAATTAGATAAGCAAACATGATTTTGGAAACACTATTCATCATCGAACACAGACATCAAGAATATGAAACATTAATTTTTTTAAGTTGAATTTGTTACATATCTCTTTTCTAAGAAAGATTTATTAATTTTTTTTTTTTAGTCTCTTTATCTTCTTGTTTAATTCCTCCTACATTTACTCAATCTCCCACCATTCATTTATTTCCTACATGGCTGTCAAGTTGTTTATTCTTTGTGTTTCTTTAAAGAAATTTAATAGACATACGATAATTGTACATATTTATGGGGTAAATAGGGATGCTGTAAAACATACAATGTACAGCGTTCAGATCAAAGGTAATGGGCATATCCACCATTACAAACAGTCTCCATTTCTTTGTGTTGTGAACAAAGCCTTCCTTGTAGCTACTTGAAACTGTCTCTTATTGTCAACTGTAGTCCCCCTCCAGTGGTGTAGAACACTAGACCTTATTTCTCCTATCTAGCTGGAATTTTGTATCTTTTACCAAATCTCTTCCTACAACCAACCCCCTTTTTCTGTTACGGCCTCTGGTATCCTCTCCTCCACTTTTTACTTCTATGAGATCAACTTTCCCTGGCTTCCCCAGGCATGTGTGTCTGAGGGAGAACGTGCGATGTTTCGCTTTCTGTTCCTGGTTTCTTTCACTTCACAGACGCCCTTCAGTTTTGTTCATGCTGCTATAAATGTGTAAATGACACGATTTTTTTTCTTTCTTTTTTTTTTTTTGCTGAACAGAATTCCACTGCATATACACCACAGAGTCTTTATCTGTTCATCTGGGCACCTAGGTGGATTGCGTATGTGGGCTACGGGCCCAGCGCTGCAATGTAATACCCGTGGGGGTGCTGATGCCTTCTCCGTATACTGATTTCCTCTCCTTTGGATAGATGCTCAGTCTTGGGATTGCTGGATCATGTGGTAGTTCTATTTGTAGTTTTTTTGAGGAACATGTCATTCTTGAAGTCAATCTCCTCTGCCATTATTCTTGGGACTTCTCTCTTTTCCCTGCACGCCAGAGCTGTTACCCACCTTAAGTGTCACAGCTTCCCACTCTGCTAACTCAACTCAATGAGTTCCCAGGGCTTAAAATATCTGGCACGGTTTTTTTGGCATCCTTGCTGGGTATTCCTTTCCTGAGCAAGGCAACGTACAGTCTTGGCTTTGGCACGAGAACATTTTGGAGGGAGTGAGGTACAGTGAGGTTTGCATTAGACGTGTATCACTGGTGCCCTATATGTTACAGCACATTAGATTATGGCATATAGTGTATAGTATCAGCATCATTAAGCCACACTGTTATGCATTTATTCCTCTGAAACCCCCCAGTCTTCCTGATTCAGGGGTTTACCTCACTCTGCCAGCAACATACTAATAACCAAACAATGTGAGGTCCTACCACTGACCACAGTCCATTTATTTCCACCTGTTCTACATTGTGTTTTCTTGTTTAGTTTGTTATGAATGACGGGGGGAGGGGCAAAGACAATTTCAGGGACTGGCCTGCAGGTGCTGCTGAGGAAAATTAGAATAGACACATGTAGCTAGAGGCAGAGGTAGGATCAGAACGCACTGGGAGTCTTTCATCCCAAGGAAGCCCCTTCTCCCTTCCCACCACAGTACAGCCAAAGAAGATAACTCTTCCACTTTCTTCTACACCTCAGATCATTTTGGGTTTGAATGGAATTTCAGTTCTCCAAGCTTTGCATCGCAGCTCTTTGCTGGGTACTGTCTGACACTGGAGATACGAAATTTTATGTATGTAACTGATCTTGCTGTCAAAGACCTCCCAGTCTAATAACAAAATGACAAAGGGCAATGGGAGATTACTACATGGTTTTGATGGTAAAACAAATATAATATGGAAAAGAAGGGCAGAGCATGGGGTTATCAGCAAGAAAAAAGAATGTATGTGTGAAGTACACGGTTAAATAGTACTTTTAATAGAAGGCAAGGCATGATGGCTCACAGCTGAAATCCTAGCATTCTGGGGGCCAAAGTGGGAGGATCTATTGAGCTCAAGAGTTCGAGGCCAGCCTGAGCAAGAGCAAGATCCTATCTCTCCTAAAAACAGAAAAAATTAGCCAGGCTTGGTGGCATGCGCCTGTAGTCCCATCTACTTGGGAGGCCAAGACAGGAGGATTACTTGAGCCCAGGAATTTGAGATTGCTGTGAGCAATGATGACACCACTGCACTCTAGCTTGGGTGACACTCTGTCTTAAAAATTAAAAAAAAAAAAAAATGTTTGCAATAGAAGAAAATCAACTCCCAACTTTGTAAATATAACTTTTTATTTCTTTACTTTTGAAGAGTTGTTTACCTTATCAAATAGTTTTAAACTACATTTTTTAGTGACCAGAAAACATTAGGAAAAAAATGTCTAATTAGACACAAACAGTTGTGTCATACTTGTGCTGAGAATTTTTACTTTACCACTAGGTTTCAAGTTAATAGTTTTTTTTTTTCCAGATGTAACTCTTCTGAAAAGCATTGCTAATGTAAATAGAATTGGGCTTGAAAGCTTAATTAAAGATTCTACTGCCTTTTCAGGGTTAGAGTATGTCCAATTAAAATGAGTTGCAGTTTGATTAATTGATTCTGGATGTTTCCACTGAGCTATTATGTTAGAAACTATCTTCCAATTAATTTTCTATCAATTTACCTGCCAGGCTATATCAGATATAATGAATTTCAGGACTTCGCAAACACTGAGTGTGTTGTGAAACAAATGCCTAACCTTTCTATGTGATTGAATAAACTGTGCCTGCCCACCTCTGTGACAGTACCAAGGCCTCGACTAGGTGAAAGCAGAGACTGAGTTAGCTTTTACCTGTTGGCCCAAACCTTTCATCACCTTCATTATTCTTAACTTAGGAAGTTACTCTAAGTGACAGATGTTATCGTCACAGAGTAGAAGCTGGCTCTTTCCTATGCCAATTTTCAACTACTTTCGTGGCAGGAAGACCTTTGAGATTACACTTTAAATTTTTAGTGGCAAATTATTCATGTGCTGTGCTTGAATGTTTTTGAGGATTAATTGGGAACAAATGCATAATTCACCCAGGGGCTGTAGAGCAAGAAAGAAATCAAGATCCCCACACTTCTCTTTAAAATTCAAAGTTACAGAAATTTGCCTTGCAGGATACAGGGGCTCTCCCTGATCTTGGCACAGTGGCAAAGAAAGACAGGGAAGGCCGTACCCACAAGCAAACCTGGGGCAGGAAAGTGGGAGGGCATGCAGGCTGGGCCCAGGACCAGGTCTGGAGACGGAAGGGAGAAAGCTGCCTCCTGTATATCAAGCCCTGGACCTTGAATTCCCATCAGGCATCCTGGAGGAAGACTTATCCCTGCAGGAATGCTGGTGTCAGTTAACGGAGAAGTCCGTGAAAGCAGAAGCCCAGCTACAAGTTTGCTTTGCAATGTTCCTTATTATTAAGAATGAAGTCCTAGAAGTGTAGGGAAGAGGAGGGCTACTCTCTCTCATGTTCAAAGAAGTATTATAGCTTAAAGAGGCAGCTGGTGTGAGCAATAGTGTCACAGGCAGAAAATTCAGTCACTTTTCCCCAAACCAAACTCAGTGCGGAGAACATATCCCAGCGGTAGGGACCCCAGAAGAACAGGCCTCTTTAGACTTTGCACATGTGGAGGCCACACAGCTCTCTGGTTTGAACGTACTACAGTCTGTTTGAAAGAAATGATCTGTTGCTGGTATTAGTCATAATTTCTTAGCTCGAGATTTCCCATCTGAATTCTGACTTCAGTCAATGATCACTAAGATTTACCCACTGGACACGGGACAGCACACTGGTGGTTTCTTAGGCTAATAATGAAAAAGATAACTCAAGGAGCGAAGAATCCCATAATTAAAATAAATGATTCGATTACCTGAAAGACAAATGTGACCTTTATTGTACTGAATAAAATGTACAATGGGGGAACACATTTACTGCAAAAGAAAATTAGGCTAGAATAAAAATTATTCAAATACAAGCCTGCTTGATATTCTCTTTCCATAACTATATTTTAACATAGCAAAGCTAGAATTAAAAAAAGGATAAATCCAGAATATATTATAATTAAGAACTTTTTATCAAAAGACGTCATTAACAATAAGAAAGCACAATCAATTCGCAGAGAGGTGGAAGATTTTGTAATTTATATGGAAAGGATTCATCCAAAATACATAAAGAATTATTATAATTTTTTCTTAAGAAAGGAGGCAACCTTATAGAAAACGGGCAACTGATTGGATCAGCCCCTTCATGACAGTAGATACTCAAACGACCAGTAAAGATCTGGCAGTATCTCCTAATGATTGGCATACACGCAAGCTACGACCTAGTAATTCCTCTCCTCTGTACCTACCAAACAAAAATACAAGACTATGTCCATCACATAAATGGCTAAGACTGATAACTGTGTCCTCAGAGCATCAACATGCTTAGACGTCAACATTAATCTCCGCCTGTGGTTTTTAGGAATTGTTAGCTCTAGATACTCGAGAAATTTTTGTAGATTTGATGCAAGTCAAATGCAACCCCAATGACTTCTGACTGTGTCAGGGGCCCTTCCTTCTCCTCCATGTTCTAGCCATAAAGTATTGAAATAAAGTTAGCCCCACTAAAAAAAGCTGTCAGTAAAAGAATTTAGATTGGAAACAAAAATTGCAGAGCTGGTTGAATGAAAATCAATTCAAGGCTAATTTAAGAAGCATCTAGGAAAATGCTGAGTTTACAAACCAAAATAGAAAATGACCACTGTCACATCTCAGCTTAGAAAATGATTGACTCTTCTTCATTTCTCTCTCCTTCATTTCTGTGGCTAGATAGGGTTGGCGAGCCTACGGTAATAGCAGTGACTGGACACTGAGTTCGCAGTGCTAACAA